ATCTTTTTTTGAATTGGAGCTACAAAAAACTTGGCTGGTTATAAACTGTTTAAGAAATGTCTGATATCGTCACGTATTACATCATTCATCAAAGAAAAAAAGGTACATGGTCCTAAAGCGGATTTGTATATTTTTAAAGTAGTATGTAGACATCTATACTAATATTATAAACAGGAAAGATTTGTATTTATGTATGTAAATAACTCAAAACTACTGGGTCGATTTTAAAAATACCTTCACTATTAAAAAACTACGTTATCAGTGAGTGACATAAGCTATATTTTTTATTTCACGAGGACGAATTCGCGAGCAACAGCTAGTCATTAAATAAATACATTATGTCGACTATTCTATTAAAAAATAAAGATGATTTTTCAAAGTTTACCGCCAAAAAATATCCAACAGTAATCTTAATTTTAAAAAGGCAATTATCTTAAAGTTTGAGGAATAGCCTTAACGTTTGATAAGTGAATAATATTAAAATATAACAAACGTCGTATTTCAAACGAGATATCGCACTTGTACGCATCCAAATTAGTCGAAAAGGCCAGCAATTCTGTAAATAACATAATAATGACCAGTAATTCCGCGCGGTCATTACGCCGCGAACATTGTTGGATGGCCAGTTATACGTTATTAGTATTCATATTTAAGTATCATCAACTTTCCCTGCAATTCGCTTGCATGAGCACACGTAGCTATAGTTTTTTATGCTTCTATTATTTTCTAGAATAAACAGATGAATTGAGGAATACGGATGTAACAAAAACACTAGAACGTTATTGATTTGTAAGATATATGTTGTGACGTCACTACATAGTACTAAACAGTCGCTTCCCGCAGTCTGTCTGTACCTTTGTATACCTTTAAATCTACGCGTAGGATTGTTGCTGTTTTTAATAGACAGTGTGATGCAAAAGGCAGGTGTATGTGTACAATAGATACAATACAAAGAATTCTTATACGTTCCTAGAAATAAATTTATTTTTGTTTAATATTAAAAGAAATATTTCTTTGACTAAAGATGCCTCTGCGACTAGCGAAGATTGGGCAGTTCTACAAATCTTATAATAATAAAAAAATCTTTCAAGTTAAGTAAAATGAAAGTCTGTAATCATAACATTCCCTAATAAAGGGATAACTGAACGCATAGTGTGATGTTTCATATAATCTAAGTTAAAGTTATTCTTCAAGTTAGTCTCGCTAAGTAATTGTAAGTGTGCAGTCCTCCTTGACCGGCAGAGGTCACACCCGTCGGATACTTGCCGCGTTTGATCACTTATGTAATTGATTTGTTGATGTAATACTACGAAACTTAATACATAAGTTATAGTGATCAGCATTTAAATATAAAACGTTGTTAAGAACTGTTGAACCAGAAATTTACACTACACTTGTACAGAAAAAATATATCCGTTTATATTCTGTGATTTGAGACTAGCTGTTGCTCGCGACTTGGCCCGCGTGAAATAATTTTTGTAATCAGCCAGTAGTTTTTAGTTATTCCAATACATACAAAAATACTAATTTTTCCTTTTTATAATATTAGTATAGATAAAACTTAAATATGTATAGCTTGTAAGACGGTAAATGTTTGTAAATTATGATATATCGTAGAACACAACAAACTATTTCAAGAATTAAAACATATTCATCTAAAGAAATCTAAAGGAAGTCTTAAGACGAGGTAGGGTTGCCAAATAATGTGTAAGATACAAAGGGATAATGATGATGAAGCTAAGAGTGATTTAAAATGCAAGTCCATGTTCACACTTTTTTCTTTCTTTCTATAGATAGTGAAAAGAGATGAAAATAATTTCCCTGCAGGTACGTGTATAGATTAGTCGACGATGACTTAGACATTGGAAAGTGGTTGCTCACGACCATACACATGCTATAGTAAGTTATTATGTTGAAGTTAAGTAATGGACACATCGCTTAGATACCGATATGTTAATGTCGATACAGTTAACATGCAGATGCAGTATAAAGGGGTCTGAAATTGATGTCCAAAGTTGGAACTTAGATGTCCTAACTAGAGAGATGCTTCAATTCGAGGAAAGAATAAATTATGCTTTAATAGTTTTTTTGTTTCATTTTCGATATTTAAGTAATCGTGAAAGATGTCACTTATGTAAATATGATAAATCTGTTTAGAGTCATCCGGCAGACTCTCACGCGTGACATCGCCGCCGCAAGAAAGTAAATGCATTGATCGAAGATAAGAAATGATTGTTTAGAGACGCCACGAGACACCGACCTCACTTATATTTACTTACTAACGTTAACAACAAACTAAATTGTATTGACGTTCTAACATGTCCTACATAATTTGTAACAGTTATTGTTCGTTACAACAAAACACAGACCCTACCTGTACGAAATCCGTTTTCTCGGTCAAATTCTCGAACCTGGCTAGAATTTCTTTCACTGACACTTTGGGTTCGGTTGTTTCTTCGTGTATCGTCTCCATATGTCCACTAGACGACGACGAATAACTTTGGGGGCATTTTTTGCGGGCGCGGGTCGGTTCGGGATCGCGGGTGTCTGCCCCAGAGTCGGAATCCTCGGGGTTGGATGCGTCGGCGCTAGAGAGGGCACCTTCGGATGAGTTGATGAGGGAGTCTAGGGAGGGCGCGCGCTGCGGGGGCGGGGAGTCCTGCTCGAGGGCGTACATGCGGTGTAGATGCCGCCAGTTGTCCCGCATCGCGTGCGAAAGCCGCGGCCGCTGCATGCTGCGGCTCAGCGCTTACTGCGCGCACTATGCGCTTCACACGCCGCACGCGCACCACACGACACACGCGCGCGACTTCACTGAGCCCATCTTTAGAACTTACGCATCAAATGTTTTTTTTAAACGTTTGAATAATAGTTTATTGTAATTATATTTATATTGAAATGTACTATGGTGTTTAGAATATACAATTGAAATATTTGCTTTAACTTTTCAAAATGGCATTTATGTGTATTGGAATTTTCAATTTCAATATTGTTATTAGCATTTTGGTAAATATAATAAAGGATAGTAAGTTTATTTTCTTCGCATATAGTTTAACGTTGTTACATAATTTGGATTCCCTATAATGTGATATGAGAAGACGGTGTTACAATTTTATCGATTTAAAGCGATTTTCCACGCGACATACGGTGAGCGTTAACTGCACTAGAAACGCTTACCACAATTTCCTTTAATATAAGCACTATCTTCTTACTAAGCTGAGCTAAGCTTACATATTATCCGTGGATTTACGAAAGGATACAGATATGTAATATTGAATAAAATTATTTTTCATTTAGGTATTATTGTGTTTATTAAAAAAAATTAATCTTCAATTTTGACTAAAATGCAATAACGATTTGGTCTCGTTGTCGGGAAAATCTTGCAATGTGCAAGTGACCTTTGTGGAGAGATTTATTTCTAGTTGTGAGGATGGAACATTCTAGAGGTTGAATGAGGAAGTGGGGCCGGCATGGGGCGGCCGTGTGTGTCGGCGCGGTCAGTGTAACGGGCTACACATCTTAGCGCTAACGGGAGCAATATTGCTTACCAGGGTTGACTGACATATAGGTACTATTATCACTATACTATTATTATTTTTAGGGTTGCCACCATTTCTGTTTATTTGAAATTTTTGAAAATCGGCAACCCTAAAAGATACTAAACGAAATGCATTTTTCTAGTGATAGATTATTTAGGTAGAGTAAATTGGTACGAAATTGAAAATAAGGTTACGAAAAAATAGTGTCGAAGAAGTTAGTATTAACGATATAAGAAGTAAACAATATTTTTATCGAAAGTTTATTAGTATAATGAAGCAGCAAAAGTTGTACTTCTGGTTGATTGAAAGTACGATAAAATTTATTGTCTTACGTAATGAGGAATAAAAGCACAAAAACTTTATGAAGTAATCAAAAACTGAGATGAGTATAACGCGTAAAGTAATGAGGAAAAAGTTATTTAAACAGATATGGAGTCAATAAATTTATAAAGATAAAATTAACAGACACGAATTTCTCCTTACGTGTGAAAGTACATAAATAGATTTTGAAAATACAGAATGTTCAAGAGATTGCACAAAAAGTATTCTTACGGGATCGAATACAAGCAATCTTGTATGGTTTTTACGTAATATTGGACAAATAAAAAATATAACCTCGCGACAAAATACGAAGTGTCAAAAAAACGACAACATCCATATCTTTATTGAAATTAAAAATGCATAATATTGGGCTTAAATAGAATCGTGATTGGTTACATAAATTATTTTGAAGACCGAATTGTATAACTTCGGAAGTAGAAACTGATTTTTTGTTTATTTAAACATGTCAAAATTTTACTTTTTAATGCCATCGAGACAAATGCTGAATCATGTGTTACTGGCACATAAATTAAAAAGGTAACTTCGAACAAGCGATTATAGTTATAAATGCATAGACAGTAAAGATTAGATTTCTTTGCTTGATAAAGTAAGCAGCATTTTAGATGAACTGCCTAAGATTATAATTTGACGGAATTCAATATTCGACATGAACAAATCTTTAAGCAAACATACTTGTGAGCGCTCACGAAGACGTAATCAAACATTTAGGTAAAGAGGACGTGAACTTTTATACTTTTCATTTGTGATGAGTTACGTATCGTTGAAAATCAACAATGTAAAAGATCTTAGATAAATATTAAAATGATACAATTTCGTTATTTTCACAGAATAAGAAAATATTTACGCTGAATTTTACTAATATTTGCCGTATGCAAAATTAACGAAGAATAAAATTAACCAACTAGATGATGATTTTTACAAGAATACTAACGAATTTCACGAACAGTTATAAAACAATTTTATCTGCGATGACCTTTGGAGCATCTTCAATCTGAATAATTGCAAGGATTCCATATATTATTTTACGATTCTTGAACAAAGTTTATAAATAATTTACAGGTTTTTGCAACAACTTCATATTTATTTAAACTTGAATGGATGTGTTAAATGAGTACTTACCTGTGTATATTGCAATGCAAACTCTGCGATAAGGGCGTGTGCATGGTGCGCGAGCGGCGCGTGCAGCGTGAGTGGGGCGTCGCGCGCGGGCGACAGCTGCAGCGTACCGGGCGCGGGCGCGGACGCGCGCAACCCGCCCAGCGATAGTGTGCGCCGTACCGTCAGACCAGATGGACCTGAACACAATACTTTATATTCAAATACGAACGCCAGTAATTCTTATAAGTTATGTAGAAATCGAAACTCAAATCTCTATAACTTACCTTTAACCCCGATTACAACAGCGGCGTGTGTAACAGCCAGCACGGCGCTCTCCCCTGGCGGCAGTCGCGCGGAGAACAGCCTCGCGAAGTAGAAGGGCCAGCCGCGCGCCATTTCGACGCAGGCACGCTTAGTGTGCGCGCGCGCCGGCGCCCCGCCCCCCGCGCCGCCCTGCGCCCGCAGCCACGCCTGCCCCGCACGACGCTCCGACGCGCTGATACGCAGCGACGCCATGTTTGACGTTATGTCGCTGACGATCTGTTGCGCAAAGAATTAATTTAAAATAAGGATACACCTAAAATCATCAGTGTTTAATTAAATTCTTGTTATATATTGTGAAAGACTTTCACTAATTTATATAATAAGTCAGATACTTACTTGTGCGTAAAGTAAATCCAAAATGTTTGGCTCGCTGTAAGTCTCTAGAGGCGTGAAAACTTCTTTGCGCACGCGCAGTTTCCACGGTACTCGCGTGTACGTCAAGTAGGCACGATCTGACGGAAGCAAGGCAGCTGGGGCCGGGACATCGCCTAGCAAATAAATTTTCTATAGAAGATATTTTAAAAAACTAGACACAATGGAGAATCGTTCAATTTAATGAATAACTTACGTTCAATGTGTTCCGTTCTATCGGTGACATGGGTTGAAACGGATTGCCTTCTTTCAGCTTCAATCTTTCTTTCCCTCTCTTTCTGCGCCATGTGAGTTTTAAACGTAGCCCTCTCCGGTCTCTTCGACGTTTCAGTATTTTCCGGTGGAAACACGACGTCCGATCTTGGACTGTCTCTCATGCGTCCGACTAGCATGTCCCTTGAATTCTTTCGTCCATCGAATCGTTCGAACTCGTCAAAATATGAAGAGGAACGTTTACGTTCGAAGGTGGCCGCCAGTTCATTTTCATCTTTTCTCCTCTCTGCTCGAGTTGGGTGAATCTCGTATATCTCAGATGCTTCACGACCAGAAAAACTGTCCCGTCGTAAATCACGCCTGTCCGTCGTATCGAGGCCGGATTCTGAGTCCCATTCGTCACGGCCGTTTTGCTGTCTCTCTTCACTGTAACCTCTGATGTCAGACTCGTCTCCCCACTCGTTGACACGACGCTCTCGTCGGTCGGAGGTTAAAAAGCGAGATGCTAAGTCGTCGCCCTGATTCGAATCGGTCTCGTCCTTTCTACGCGAGCTCCAGTTGGCTAGGAAAGCGTTTCGATCGTCGGCTTCCCTGTTCTGGTGAACACCAAAAGTATCTCGATCACGGCGCAGCTGCGCGAATGATGCATCTGGAGCCGGGGGAGGGGGCGCCGGCCTGTCCGGCGGGG